GATCTGGCCCGGCAGGAGGTGGGCAAGAGGATTTTTTGCAGAATACCGGCCCTGCTCCATCTGACCAGCAGTGGCAATAGCCATACCCAGTTCTGCATCTAGCTCCTGCCCAGACCTTTGGCTGCCAAAATCTAGACCCTTGGCTGACTAAAATGAGACTTCCGATAAGGTTCCCTCACAGGCATCCTGCTGAATTAGAAGGAAACAGGAACAAATCTGAGGCACACGGGGCTAAACTTCCCTCGAGGACATTTCCTGAGCTGTAAGATGGGAAGGGACAGCACCTCGGTTGGTGAGCTGGTGCAGCTGTACATACGTTTCCTCTGTTTTTCAGTACTCACAGGTCATCCCGAGGAGACCTCTCTTGGGCTATGGGCAGCCCATGCTTGGATTTTTTTGGTGTATGTGGCCAAAAAGCAGTGACCAGGTGTGTTGAGGGCCTCCCCTTGCCTGCACCTTTTCATCTCTGAGCGACTGAGGGCTGCCATTGCACACGTGTCCTGGATCCTCCCCTGGCCTGGGTCAGCCGCTGGACTTGGGGTGAACAGGCTGGTTTGAGGAAGGGGCTTCCCACAAGCAGGGCTGGTTTCCTGGGTCAGGGCCTGTCAGACTCAAAGTCAGCCCTTCAGCATTCTGTTTAGAAAATGATGATGCAGTTCAGCAAGAAAGAAAGCTCAGGATAAAATGTGTTTTGGCGGGGAAATACTCAAGTGCTGTAAGCCAGGAACAGAGACTCTCAAGAGAGGAATTCTCTGGCATTCTCTGCCTCGGATAAATCATGGATTAAACATGAGCATCCTTAGAATAATTTTATTTTTGTATTTGACTTTACACTGTAATGCAAACAGCTTTTATGTTTTCTTTGACAAAGAATCATAATTGAGTCACTTTAGGTCTTTTAGCTGGCAGTATTTCACCCTAAATGAAAAGTTAATGCATTTTTTACAAGGATTAACATGCTAGTTCCAACTTGCCCTTTCAGCAGATGACAATAGGGGATTCTGAAAAGTTTGGACAGAGTTTTTTTCTTTTTGTATACAAATAAAGCAGCAGATCGTTTCTCTGTAAAGGCCACTGCAGAGCTCCTGCACCAGCTTACAAAATGATGTTGTTTAAGCAGGACTTGGGTGGGCAGCGGAATTCTGCACGTGACGAGTGGCCTGCAGCTTAAAAAGCAAATGTCATCTGATTCCAGTACTGTGATTTTAAGGAAATGATAAAACCCAAAGTGCTGGTAATGCCATCAAGGCTTAACAACTCACCCATTCCCTCAGCAGCTAAAGACAAAATGAATTATTTGGGTGAGGGGACAGAAGTCCTTTCACTTTGCAGTGACACCCATTTTTTCTTGGCTTGGGAGTAAGGAGTCTGGGGTGTGGGGGACATTAAAAACTCATTTAAGGCAAACCGAAACCTCCTTTGTCAGCACTCTTCCAGCTCTGCTGTAGCCAGTGCAGAGTTCCAAGGCTGGCAGGCTGAGCTGTCTCCTAGCTGCCGGGCCTGGCATTTATTTGGGCAATGCAAGCGACATCGTGAAGCATTGCTGATGCCCAGGCCAGCTAGCAGGGAGCCCTACCAGGGCAGGTAGAAACCTATGTGTATATGTATTCTCAAATTTAAATAGATTGTACATAGCGAAATGTAAATGACCTGTAAAACAGCAATCTCTATTTTTCTTAACTATTATATAGCAGTATATATTTGTTAAACATGCTTGTATGCTCTTCATTAACCACTTTAATATTTTGTACAGATAAGCTGATTAAATATTTTATTCATAAAATTGCTCATGACTGGTCTTTAAAGGAAAACATTTTCAGCTTTTGTTACTCAGCCTTTGTGTGTTACTGGAATCCTCAACTCATTGATAGAATAGGACTGACTGTATTTTAACAGTGGGGGTGACATAGCAGGCCTGGCTCCATTTGTCTTTGTGCCGATCATTCCCATGTTGTGAGATCAGGTGTGAGGCTGGGGGCCTCTGGCCTGGGGGGCTGCATCCCGGGTCTTGGTGACTGGTATGAAACTGCATAGCATGCTGCTGCATACAGCCTCACAGGGCACGAAGTCACTGCACAGCAAGGTAGAAAACATGTAGCTTGCGTTCAGGAAAGGAGGCCCAAACATTTTCTCTCTGGGAAATGACCATGATAATTTGTAGAGTGAGCACTGTCATTGCAAATGCAGTTTGAGCAGACAGAGTTTCTGTGTTTATACATCGTAGGCTGCTGCAGGACCCATCTCACTTGAAAAAGATGAGCCCTCCCCACCTGGAGGCTGCACAGTTAAGTCTCTGAAATCCCAAGGCGTAAAGTCCCATGGAAGCAGCGTCCTCTGCAAGGCCAATCACATACTTCACAGAACCCAAAAAGGTCCTACAGCAAATTTGACAGGCCTTTTTTTGCCCAGTACTCTTCAAGATAAGTACAAAAGCCTGTGCTCGGTGTCACCACGAAGGATCCAGCAGGATAGGATCAGCCACACAGTGTGCTGTTGCCAGCCCAGCTCTCGCACTTGACTTTTGCCTACAGATGAAGGAGAAATCTATTTCCTGTGGTCCTTAAATATTTCTGGGAGAGGACTGATGACAGAGCAGGAGTTGTAGGAAGGTGTCAGGGACTTGGGCTTATTAGTGACTTGTTGCCAGGATTACCTCTTTTGGGAGATGGAGCCTGCTGGAGTGACACACCTTGTCCTGAGTGATGGCAGCACATGTTCATGGTGAATCAAATTTCCCACAGTTTGTTAATGAAGGTCCCTATGGTCATGTGACTTTCTCTCTCTGGTGAAAGATCAAGAAGGCCTGCTTTCTTTTCACTGCTCTATTTCATATTAGTCAATAAAGGAGTCTCTTCCACTGGAAGGAAAATTGTGCTCCCTTTTCAACTAACTCATGTGGCAGGTACAATAAATGCGTAAGCTCTACGACCCTGCCACTGAAAACTAATGTCTTCTCATGCTTTGTTTATAAGCATCTTTGGTCCATTTTTCATTTTCTTATTTTTCAGCCTCCATTTGACCTACCTCAGCATTCTGTGGTTAGAGTACACATTCAGTAGAGGAGTAGTTACAGGGAGAAAGGTAAGTCAGGAGTGGCATTTAAAATTTTATCCAATTTCCCAGACACTGATAAGAGCAAGTCTAAAAGGCCCATCTATGACTGATGGTAAAGAAGGCTAAGATAGACTTCTCCACTCCTTCCCTGGCCATGTCAGGTCCTGGATCTGCTGCCTGCTCATTTCCAAGCAGTCCAAGGCAAAAGCCTTGGACTGCTTGGAACTGCCTCCAACCACTGCTCCATTGAGGGTGGTACCCAATGTGGTCATGGATGCATGGGCTCCTGTGCCCTAGGAACTCTGTGACTCATCTGCTCAGAAGGGACAGTGATCGGGGGAGAAACTTGTCCACTGCGATGTGCCACCAGCATGCAGCCCTATAGGCTGTGGGTGTCTGCTGAGTCCTAATCACATGCAGGTGCGCAGCCCTTCACAGTGGCCAGTAGGAGGAAGCCCAGATGTTCTGCAGAGCCTGAGCGGGGTGGATTTGCAGAGGCGGGATTCTAGTCCCTCTGTGAGGGAGGGAGACCCTGCAGGTGCACCGCGCCCCCTGGCTGTAATGGACGCCCAGTCATAGGGTCACATTCCCATCCCAGGGAAGAGGAATTTTCCCATAGACTTACCCAGCAAGGAAATCTGTCCCAATGTGGGGAGGTCAGCACAGGTCCCTTTGCCAGAATGTTTGAGGAATGCAACACCAAATGAAAATGCTCGATTATCCCAGAGCACAGTCTTGCATATTGTTGTTCTAATTCCCACTTGGGGTGCTGTGAGGGGTTAGTGCTCAACAAATAATAAACTACATATTTGGTAGTTGCTAATACCCAAACTCCAGAGGTTTTCTAATTGTAGAAGAATGGAAGTAACAGTTGCAGCCATATCAGACAAAATGAATGGGATACAAGGGATAGTGGCCTTGCTTTCCTGCAGTCCCCCAGTGCCAGACGCAAACAGTCTGCAAGGATTCAGACATCCTTGAATCTATCTGACCCAGTTGTGCACAGCTCTGCTGGGGAAACACTTAAGGGGTGGAATAGCAAGTGTCCATATCTGTACTCCCACGAACATGTCAGTTTTAAGATGAAGAGGCCCTGAGATGTGATTTCCTGATAGTCTGACCCAATGTAAGAACTGCTCTTTTTGAGAGCTTGCCTAGAATGGTACGGTAGAAACTTTTTATTAATTTAGATAACAAAATTTATAGACGATCCTGTGTAGCAGGCCCTATTTGATACGCCCTGACAGTACTGAGATGATTAAGACAGAAGTCCATCCTCTAGGACTTTCCTGAGGGAAGGGGTGTTGGTGGAGGCAGGGAGGAGCAGCCTGCAGAGACATAATTCCCGCAGCAATGATAAGTCATTCAGCAGACACAGGCCAGGCCAGGGGTCATGAAGGCCTGCGGGGAATGGTAGGGTGGGAGGGACTGCTCTGGGAGGCAGGAGCAGTCGGAATTTTGGGCCACATTTCATGGGGTGGGGTAGAGAATGGGCGTCATCAAAGCTGGAGCAGTGATTTCTGTACAGAGGAGCCCACAGGAAGTCCCCATGCCTGGCGTGAGAGCAGGTGGTTATGGAAGAGTTGCAGAGGTGCTGGCCATGTGACTGCAGCCACAGCACTGGCTCCCGGCATGTGGGCCTGCTTTCTCTCAATCTACTGCCTGATGCATTTTTTCCCCCTCTGAAAACTGGTCTCTGTTATAGCTTTCATTCTTTTACAACTACTCATTTGTTACCAACTATCTACTCTTCACTTTCCCTGCCAATCGGGTCCTCATTTGCCCTTTGCATGACTCTCCTGGCTTTCCACTTTTGCTAGGCTTGCCCATGGTGGCCTTCAGGAGGCAGCACAATGCAGTGGAGGGAGAGAATGAAGCCGTGGCTCTGGAGTAGAGGCCTGAAATGGAATCTGGCTTAGTTCATTTTTGGTTGCTATAATGGAATATCAGAGACTGGGTAATTTATAAAGAAGAGATTTATTTCTTATAGTTCTGAATGCTGGAAAGTCCAAGATCGAGGGGCTGGCATCTGGTGAGGACCTTTGTGCTGCATCCTCCCTGACAGAAGGTGGAAGGGCAAGAGAGCATAAGAGAAGAAGAGATCAAAATTGCAGCCTTATATCATGCCTTTTAATCACTGGCATTAATCCATTCAGGAGGGAAGAGCCCTCATGACTCAGACACTTCCCATTAGGCCCCACCTCCCAACAGTTGCACTGGGGACTAAGTTTCTAACACATGAACTTTGGAGGACACATGCAACTACAGCAGAATCCCAGCTCTGTCATCCAATAGCTGTGAGATTCATAGCAAGGCATCTCGGTGGTAATCTGTAAAATGGGCATAGTCAGAACATCACAGGACTAGGAGGCCTAAGCGAGACACTGAAAGAGCAGGGGTGAGCAGCAGACTCCTTATCTGGATTAGCTCTCATCTATTCCAAACCACCTATTCAAGTTCTACCTGTCCTTGTAGGACTAGGGACAACCTCTTCCTCTTCTCTCTTCCAAGAGCTTTCTCTTTATAGAGCCCTTTACAGAACCACAGAACCACCCAGAGCTTGGCCCTTGCTCATGATCTGAGGATGCTCACCCAGCATCGCTCTTGGTGACACCAGTCTTGTTGTAGAGAGATGCCTTCAGCCTGGTGGGAGGGGCCAGATCCACGTCCCACAGCTACTCCCCACCTGGGCCAATGTGAGCACTTACCCATGTCTGTATGGGGCACAGGCAAGAAATCTCAATCCTCTTAAAAAGTGATTAGAAGAACACTCATACAAAGTTTGCTGTCCTCAGCACTCTTGCAGAAGAGCTTCATTCAAGGTCCCACAGAACACACTCAGTCCCAGACTGCAACCTATCCTTAAGGCCCACCCCCAAGGGAAGGAACAGCCCAAATATATCATCACCTCTTCTCTTCTGCAAGAGAAGGCAAAGGACAAAGATGTCTGATGCCATCTAAGAGATGCTTTTCTTCCTGCATCTTTTCTAAACGGACTGTTAGAACATCATGGGCTGTGTGTATGGAGGCCCACATGGGCTGAGTCCAGAAAGCTGAGCCAGTTGAACAAGCATTATCCCTGTGTAAGAGCCAAAATGCTGACTGCTAGAATCAAGTTACAGGCCTGGTGAAACAGTGCAGGGACTGAGATACCACAGGGTCCTCCGCTATACCAAAGAGAAGATAAATGAAAGAAAAAAAGGAAAAACAAGTTTGCTATCCTCCTTGAGGTACCATTTTATAGAGCATCTACCATATGCCAGGCAAGGTACTAAATGCTGTATGATGGCCTCATTTTATCTCCATTTAAAAAACAACAAAAAAACTTTCCCAAATAAAAAACTGAGCTGAATATCAATATTATCCCAAATTCACAGATGAGGAGCTGAGGGGACTCAGGGAGGTGAAGTCTTACATCACAAACCTAACAAATGACAGATCTGGGATTTGAACCTAGGTCTTCATCTACTGCCTAGAAGAAGAAATAGCCTTCCTGGAAAAGAAGCAATGAGACACTGGTGTGGGAGAGAGCACAGTGGGGTTTAAAAAGAATTATTATGACAAATTCTAAAACATCTCAAACTTCCAAAAAAATCTGCAAGTATAAAGAATATTATTATCCTCTGAACCATCTGCCAGTAAACAGACATGCTGCCCCTCACCCTCAGATACCTCAGTGTGTCTCCAGTACAAACGAGGACACTGTCTTACTTCTCTCCAGTAAAACCACTGAAATCAATAAATTAACAGTGGCATCTTACTCCCAGCTAAATCTTCAGGCCTCATTCAAGTTGTGCAGATTGTCCCAATAACATCTTTTATAAAAAAACATCCAATTCTGAATCAGATGTTTTGTGAAATTGTCATGTCTCTTTAGTCTCCTCTGAAAAAAATTTTTTTTTTTTGCTCTTTTAAAAACATTATTTTAGACACAGAGGTCTCATTTTTTGCACAGGCTGGTCTCAAACTCCTAGCCTCAAATGATCTTCCCTCCCAAAGTGCTGGGATCACAGGCATGAGCTACGGCACTCAGCCTGTTTTTGTTTTGAATATAATGTAGGATGAAGAAAAATCAAGACTTCGGTGGTCCCTGGCTCTCCAAAGGTTGAGTGGAGGAGCGGATGATGAGACGCCCTTGGTGGCCATGGATATCAGGCCACACAAGCCATGGAGGGCTCGTGGAGATTCCTGTGGCTCAGAACAGACTAGGAACAAACATGGGCAGTCGTCAAGGCTCAATCGCTGAGCCCTAGGTAACTGTAGGAAGTTGAAACGTTCACAAAGACCATCCATGTAGTTGACTGGGACATGCAGGCAGAGCTGCTTCTGGGAAATGGATTTCATCTACTGTTTGTCCATTTTAGTCTTCTAATCCCTAATGAAAGAAAATGAACTTCAGCCTCTTGAAATCTGATTCTTCCACCTATGAAAAAAAGCAATGAGAAAGGTGACTTTTCATTTTAAGAGAGAGACTTTGAGCTGAGTCTAACACAGGAGAACTGTTCAAATTGTATCCTCTCTTCCTCAACAAAGAGATCAGGCCAGATGAAGTCGGAAGTGCTGGTAAAACATTTATTTCAAAAACTCATTTGGTGTTCAGATGACAAACAGGAATTAAGAACCAATATTTTTCTTAGGCTCTAAAAATCAGAAATAAGACACAATTTCATAGATGCAGACTTTTGAAATATAGAACAATGTTTAAAATAACAGCTAAAAGAAAAGCTCTGAATGTTGTTCTTTATTCCAGTAGGTATGATTTACTCAGTACTTGTTTACATGCTTTGATTTAGTAGTATTGAGTATCTCCTGTATGCAAGGCACTCAGAGCCATAAGTCCTAGCTTCTAACATCAGATTTCTAGGCCTCCCGTGCAGATGCCAATAAAAGCTCTGTGTACAGCCCTGTGCTTATGGCCTCTGTATCTACTAGCTCTTCCCCTTGGGTTAATAGCACTTCTTGTCCGGAGCTTGTCTTTTCCCCTCTGAGAAGTCATTTGCTGTGATATAGAAGCTATGCCAAAGCACAATAACTCATTCAGCACTTACCAAAAAGTTGGCAGCAAATCAGAGCTGAATCTTTCATCAGGGGACTTTAGGTTTTGAGGGGAAGGACAACTCATTGTCCTCAGGGAATGATAATGCCATGAGGGATTTCCTCTAGGAGAAAAAGGAATATTTCGGATCCATCTTCCACTGTCACTGCAGTATGTGGTTCTCGGGATTGAGTCAAGTTAGGGAAGGCAGCAATGTTGTCAGCCCACTCAAAGCTAGGGAACATATGTCTTCTCTACCAGACCTCAATGTGAATAGAGAAGGTGAATTCATGTAACTTAGTGGCTGGGTTTGGTTCATTAACAAAATAATTACCTTCCAGCAAATGATGTTAATGCAGAAATGGAGAACTAATGTATGGTAATGTTTTACTCAACAGTTTAAAAGACATTTTCAAAAATTATTCACTAGAAGATTTCCAGAAGAAATGAATCATTAAGTAGCTAAGAACTCTATCCTCAATGGCTAGCACACTATTTGGCTCATTGCTGGTCTTCAATGGAGTTTTAGCGTAAGAATTACAGAAGGAGTAACTGCATGTTGGCACATACAAGTCTGATTTGGGACAGCCTGGCGCCTCTCCATCCTGGCTCTGAAGAGGTGGAGCTTGCAGGGAGCTCAAAACCTGGCAGGCTAAGGCTCAACACAGAACTTGCTGGCTGTCCTGTGGCAGGAGGCACAGTTGGGGTCCTTCAACAACTCTTTATCTGGTTACCTGACCACAGTAATGTCTGGTGAACTTTATTCATTGTCTAGTGCAGGTAGATTAGACGTCACACTGATGATCCTGGCCAAGACCTGTGCTAAGTTAGTCTGGGCTGATCTTCATCTTCTGTCTTAAAGGAGACCCAGGTTCACTTCCTCCTCCTGGAACACGAGTGTACCCTTGTCATAATCTCATACACTTCACATATCTAACTATAATCTTAACATTCACCGATTACGTTTACATTTTCTAGTAGGTATTTCATAATTTCCTCCAGAAGAGCCTATTCTACAATGTAATCCAATTAAAATCAACATGTAGATTTTTTTTTAATCTGCAAAGATCCTGCCTACCAAAATAAACCATATGGTGCCACTAGGCATCTCATGCAAACACGAGACTCTGGGTAGATCACTGTGCTCCCTGAGTCTTGGAAAATGTATGGTTAAACCTATGGAATGATTCATCCTGTGTTTCCTTCAGCCTGTTACATGGGGAGCTGGGAGTTGATTTGTAAGCCAAGAGGTTCTCACTTTCTTCATTTCTAATATCAGTCTTCAAAATTAAACATTTACCTAAAAAGTCTAGTACACTGACTGCCTCCATGTACTGGCAGGGGGGCTTGTTCTTCAGGCCCATTTACATTTTGGACAGATCATCCTTTAGGGAGTCAGCAATCATGTCTGCCATTTCCTGGTTAAAATGGATGATGAAAGCATGAGGTATGTTTTTCTCACAGAGTCGAATGTCTCCTTCTGGAAAATCCTTCTTAATGTCTTCATAGTATTCTTTTGGACACCAACGATCTATAGTACTATAATAAAATGTAAGCTGAAAGACAAGACGAAAACATTTTATTAGAAAGCACCTTCCCTTCCCAACACAGATATGACACCAGCAGCCGGCAGTGCTCTGAGGACAGCACATATGCCTAGCCCTGGGAGCTAGTCCCCAAGCTCTCTCCAAAGTGTGGCTCTCTCAAGGCAGCAAGCCTTCACAATTTACAGGAGTGCACTTAGAAGAATTTGGTGGAAAGGACTCTTGTGTGACAGATTGCTCATAATTCACTAAAAGGACTTACCAGCAAAGTTTTGTATACTAAGCGTGGGGTGGACATTGGAATGAAGGTCGGTGAGGATGACAAAGAGACTTGTTGAGACAGTCACCGAATGACTAGTGACCAGTTAATAAACTTAG